CTAGAGAGCTCAAAGAGGACAATAGAGTGGGAATAACAGAGTGCTAAATAATGGAGGTCCAGTCGGAGTGTGTGGAGCCTCCTGTGGCCACTCAGTGTGACCCCCAGCCTGCAGGGAAGATCAACAAAGCTGCCTTCAAACTCTTTGGAAAGCGACGCACCGGCTCTGGAATGGCTAGCTTCTTCTCATTCAGGAACAAAGGAGCAAACACCGGAAACAACAGAAATTGTGACAGTGGGAATTCTTTGAATGGAAATGGCTCAGCAGCATCGGTGGAGCTTGTTAGGAGCAAAACCCATGATGGACTAACAAGCTCTAACAACGACACTGATGGACGAAGAGGAGAGGCGCTTGCTAGCCTGGAGGTAGGACCAGTGAGGTCTCTCAGCAAATCGCTGAGTTTCTTCTCTTTACTCCGACGTGGGAGTTTTAGGTCGAGTGAAAATGGAGGGGCAGGGCTTGTCAGAAGAGGGAGGGGCCTAAAGGGCTTTTTTAGCAACATGCGATGGAGGCGCAAAGAAAAAACAACTGAGGGAGAAGGGGAAGAGGTGGAAGGTAAGAAAGAGAAGGATGGGGATATTGTAGACTCTGAAATGGTAAAGGATATTACACTCACCCTTGAACCACCTCTGCACCATCACCAAGAGGACTGTAGGAATGCAGAGGCAGAATTTAACCTCCAAGCAATAGAGACTCCTGCTACTAGTGTTACCATGACACCTCCACACTGTGTTGCCATGCCAGGGCCATCTCTTGAGCTAGACTCCTCCCTTCCTTACACACCCACTGACTCACCATTGCACCCTCCCATCCAAAAAGCCAAAGCCTCAGTTTCTAGTCTCACCCCCTCCCTTGTTACACTCCCCTTGGATCGTTGTAGCACAGGCGACCCGCCCTCAGAACCATCAGCTGACCGCCTCTGCTCTCTCCTCTTCACTGATGTTACATCCCTCAAGAGCTTTGATTCACTGACAGGCTGTGGTGACATTATTGCTGACGCAGATGATGAGGGGCCAGTGGGTAATGGGGGCAGCGGCACCAGCAGCAGCAGCAGTGGAGGAGGAGGGGGGAGTGTGGGAGCAGGTGCTGGGAGGGCTGTTGGTATCACCGGTGCCATATCCCATGGCTCACCATCCAAATCCTCTCTACCTACCCAGCTGACCCAGCCCATGTTTTCAGTTTCCCCAAGCTCAGTGCCTGCTTCCCTCCCAGCCCGGGCCCGGGTGTCGCCTCCACCACAGCAGCACCCAGCTGGTAGTGGTGTGGTGGCTTACATGGGTGGAGGGGAAGAAATGGCAAGTCCAGAAGGAGTGGATGATGCTGACATGCAGGGACTCTGGCACATGCTCCCCTCCACAGGTGATAACTCTCCTGCTTTAACCCGATCACATCAACCTCCTTCCACCATGCAAACTTCCACTTATCCCCCTTGTACCAACCCTCCCAGCCTTCCTTCAGCCCCCCGAAATTCAGACAGAAAGTTACCCCAGGTGAAGGCACTGGGGCTCAGTAAGATTCCAGTAGTTGGTGGAGCAGGAAGCAGAGCAGCTAACCTCCCCCTCCCTCACACACATGGCCGTCATCCCACATCACCTGGTGAAAAAGAGCCACAAAGTGATGAGGGCTACTGGGACACACCCTCAGCGACGCCCACAGCAACGCCTGATGAGAGCGGGTTGCAGCGTAACCAAAAGATAACTCTATCACGTGACTGTTGCTCTGGAGACCACCTGTATGACCTTTACAATGACCCCGAAGAGGACGAAGAGGGTGAGGAGCATGTAGAAGATGTGGATCTAAACAGTACTCCCCCAGCATTTACTGAAGATAAACGCAACCCCATTTCAAAAACAACCTTTCCTTCCTCCTCCTCTTCTTCTTCCTCCTTCCAATCAATGAAAGGGAGCACCAGCCTTCCTCGGGAATCCAAGATCCCGGTAAGCACCAGACAAACCTCACCGCCCCACTCTGTAAGCCAGTCAGCCCTGTCGTCTGTTTTAGAGGATGAATCTCCTCCACCGAAGACCCGAGCACCTCCCCCGGCTCGCACCAGAATCCCTGTATCCAAGGTGCCAGTCCGTTGTTCTGTAAACAAACCAGGCAGTACAACCAGGGGAGCTGCCCAGAAGAAGTAGTTGCTGTGAAATCGGTCCACTAAAACTCTAAGACTTGAGTGTGCATCACTATAGTGCCGTTTATGCAGGGCTAAAAAATTTCCCAGACAGAGGAAATTACTGAGCTGTAGATAACAGCCTATAAATTTCTGTCAAATCTTTAGAGCTCTCGTTCTTTTGTGTTTTGGTTTACACCAGGCTCGAACAGAATAGGTGGTTTTGTTCTCTTCAGGGAGTCAGGAGAAGGATCCAAAAAGCACACTTCATAGCCCTCACTGGAACTTTGGAGGTTGACTTGGAATAGACACACTGGTCTTGTAACTTCCTGGACAAACTCCTGATGCGCTGAGAATTCAACCTCCACTTTGATTCAGTTTGTAACTGCACACTGAAAAAAAAAAGAAAGAAAATCATCTTTATATCATTTACATTTTTCCTATGGAATTCCACGTGGTATAAATGAATTTGCTCCTAAGAACCTAATCTGATAAGTTTTATATAAGTTTGTCATTGTTACAAATGACCCCCTAAGCCTCTGATTGTAGAGCCAAAGTTAAATACATAAATAAATAAGGTAAAAACAGTTTTCATTTCACAGCCTGTAATAGTCTGGACTAAACTAAGCAGCCTGGGAAAACCCACTAATTTTTGTTTTGTTGTTGTATGTGTACTTTGTTTTTTGAAGATGGTCTTTTTCTGACTGCATACTGTATGTGCATATGTACAAAAGAATACTAAGATGTGAACCAGATTTACTACTCACCTACTCTGATGCGAAGCTACCCTGCAGAAGGCCACGTGACATCTTTTTTGGTTGGGGATTCCTCCTTTTTGTGAACTTGTTCATTTTATATTGTGGATGGATGATGTTTGGCTTCAGCCTGTTGCATCGAAGTCTCACCACTACCCTGCTGCATCACTGGAAGTACATGCATGATATGTCATTCTCTGGGATTTACAACTGATAAATTACCAATGGAAACCTGCAAAAATATCGCAATAAGCTACTTAGAGGGATCCCTTGCATTTATGCTTTAATATACACAAACACACACATTATTGTGTTTCCGTCACTTCAGGGGACATGACATTGACTTACCAAGTCAGAACTCTACAATGTATTAAACTACATTTTGGGGACTTGTTTATTCTCCATAAGGACATTGAGTCCCTACAACTGTAAACAGATGTATCTCCACTCCTGAGTAACACCCTTCAGCACACACAAACATCTTCTCTTCCTCTCTGCATGCAGTGCCACATGTGCAAGACACAAAGGTCAGGGAACACCGTCTGCTGTAACACTGACACATACTGTTCAGCCTTTGGCATTATCTTTATACAGTAGCTTCTGCACAGTGGGTGACTTTCTTCTTTAATGGCATGTGCAGAAACAACCATTTTTTTCTAGCTAGACCTTTCTTCTTCATTGGATGGATGCCATGGTTTTTATGCTCCTTCCTAAGTCATACTGCACAAATCTTAAACTGTGATTGCACCAGCTTCTTAATACTGTTCTTTCTTTATTCCTTTTTTTAAAATAAACATGCTGTATAGGCAAATGAATAGCTGGGAGGGAGGCATCTTTATGTTGTATCTGTATTTTAGCCAGTTTTAGAGAATATATCTGGAACTGTTTAAAAAAAAGGCAAGGAAACTCTGTCAGGGTTAACAATTAACAGCTTAGAATACAAAGGTAAATTTGGGAACTATTGTTAAATTAGTTCAGTCCATCCCCCTCCTTCTGCTTGCTGATGAATGAGGGAGGATGAATTGCAGTCCTCAAATGCTTTTTGTAATTAAGTGAGACAAGTTACAGGGAGCCGTGTTCTCCAGAGAGTTCTTTTTAATCCAAGCCATAATGGTGTCATTGACACTTCAGGGCCATCCTGTAGTTCATGGTAGCTTTTAGTTTCATTTAGAATGTGATGACTGGTCCACAACACTGCTCCATGTCCAGATATCTTTTCAGCCTCCTGCCTGTATCTTCACAGTGTGAAATCTTTCCACTTTTCATATCCATGGAGTAACCTGATCCCAGGCCTCTGGTATGAGTATTTATTACAACATAACAAGGGCACAATAAATGCCCTTTCATGTTTTCTCTATCAACACTGTTTGTTTGCTTTAGATACAGATAATTTCATTTTCTTTAGAGTGGCAGTTGAGAAATGAGTGGTTTGGAAAAGGAGTGGTTTGGATGACTGCCAACAAGCTAAACCTGTCAACAAGTTCTCTCTTTTGTTTGATTACAAACCTGGTACATAATGTGGTCATTTGCTGCAATCAAAAGCACATTATATTTTACTGTTGTCCCTGGTAGGCTAGTGGTTAAGGCGCAGCGCTCTCACCACTATATATTTTCCTTCTTTTTGTTACTGCCTGTATCTTCACAGTGTGAAATCTTTCCACTGTTCATATTTAATGAATGAAACTGTGTTTGCACTGATAAATGAGTTCCGGACTCTTTGTAAGCACATTTACATTTTAAAACATTACATGTAATACATTTTAATGTCAGGGTACTTGAATAATTAGAGGAAAACAAGATAGAGCCATTGTCGTCTCAACTACCCAACTACCCTCCTTCCATCTTTCCACTACCACATCCTAGGTACATAAATCCCAATGAGTCAATGGGGTTGGTGAGACATAGAAGTGCCTTTGTTAATGTGTAGTATGTAGCCTTCTTGTTGTGCTGTTGCATTTGGAGAAAGGCTTTGACTGGCTTGGGAGTAATAAGTTATCAGTACCTTTTACTGATTGCTGAGAAGAAAGCCTGATCAATTGTGTGCTGTTGTTCTCTGTGGGTAAAGACACATAGAGACAGGGACAGACAGCCAATATGATGACAGAGAGAGGCAGCTGACGCACAGCTATTACATATAAATATACAATGTGTTTGTGTCTGCATGTCAGATGGATGAAGAGGGGTTCTCATTATTTTTTGAGGAAGACACATGTTGCTAAAAAAGCTTATACAGGATGTTACTATAGTGCATGCGTGCATCCATGTGCAGTGAAGGGAGGATTTGGTGCAGTGAAAATCTTCTGTGTAATTGTGCAGCAGTGCCCCCCCCAGATCTAGCTCTCTATCGGTTTCTGCATGCTGAGGTTTATGTAAAAGCCTTACATAACACCATAACACTCACTTATATCAATCCACCAGATCAAAAGTAGCAATGCTGACCCTGAGAGTGGTGCATGTTGGTATGTGCTTGTGTGTCAGCAGAACTCATTATTAATTTACAACCCACAGTAAAGCAGTAGTAAACACTCATCCTGGGCGTTGGTGAGACACAGAAGTGATTTTGTTCTGTTTGCATAAGTCCTTATGCAAATCACCAAAGAAGAGAACAAGATTGCAAAACACACAACAAAAGAGGGAGAACAACACTTACTGAGAATATGAGTAAGGGTTTGTTTGGGTTCAGTGCTCTAAATGAGGCTTTTATTTAGCCTATGCAACTTTTGATGAACAGCTGCCTTAGTTGGCAATAATGAGGAAACTGTATGCTAAAACACAGTGTAATAGTTGCAGAGGAAAAGCAAAGCAGCCTCTGTAATGTCAGTTACACAGCAATATCTGTTTAAAGTTTTAAGCATTAGACCCACCATAAGCTACTGGCTATACCAGAGCAACTAAGGCAGTGGCAACACATCTCCTCTAAACAAGATATGCTTTATTGCTTATACGTTAACCTTTTTAGTTTTAAAACTGAATGTGTTATTTTATCTGTCTTAAAGTTTCACAACAGTGCTTTAATATGTGAAGGTAGATGTGTAGAAGAATAAGAAGCTTTATTTTATTATAACATGTACAACAAAATTTTATTTGGAGCCAAGGGCCCCAGGCTGCTGCATGCGGATGTGCCACCATCACGGGTAACTTGGGGCTTCAATGTCTTGCCCAAGGACACTTTGACATGTGGACTGCAGGCACAGAGATTTGAACTTCTGAACTTCCAACCGGAGACAACTGCTCTACCCACTGCACTACTGTCGCCCCATACGTTTATAATGTATACAGTAAACATTTAAATGATCAGTGTGTTGTAACAAGCTCTTTTCTAGTTAGCACCTGGAATTCTTTCAGCTGTCCAAATAAAAAGCTATAAAACTATAAAACAATACAAAGATTTTTTTGGCCTAAGCTAAAATGATATCTACTGCTGTTTAAATTTGTGAAACCGTCATTTTAACTATGCTATACTTTGTTATTATATGAAACAATGACAGCAGTCCAGTGACTCAGGCTAAAGAGATAAAATCATTATATCTTGGTTAAAATTGTAACATGATGAGATATTTATATTTTTTGATACAGCCAGTGAGGTAGATTTGTCTTGTAAAAGATAATGGAGACTATGAACCACAGGAGCACATTTTATCTTTTTGGAAAGACCCACTGGAACAAAATGCTAATAAAAAAGGAGTACAACGTACACCATACTGATAAAAAAACAACAATTGTCTTGCCAAGATAAACCTCTGTGTGTATGATGAAGCCAAAAACATCATTCAAAAGTTCTACCAAACATTCTGCAATGCTGCCTATCTACAGTTGTTCCCATGGTAACTCCACTAGGTCAGCCAATGAATAGAGGGGGCTGGATAGGAAGCAGAATGAATGAACACACACACACACACACACACATTTGTATAGCTATATTTTTGAAGACACTCAAAGTCATAATGTTTTCCCTAATCCTTACCCTAATCTTAACCATCACAACTAAATGTCTCCTCCCAACCTACATGTTGACATCTTGATGTAGCTGTATAAATATTGAAAGATATTTCCCAGTTACTCTTAACCAGTGAAACTCAGAGAGACGAGGCGGTCCAAGTGGATACAAAAAACCGTGCTGGTTTATTCAAAGGATCACAGGTAAAATTAACATTACACGCTCAGGTATCCTTCACCTCCAAACTGCGCGCAGGCAGATGAAGAATGAAAGACCCCAAACCCAACAGGCCTGTACATTATATCTGGTTTGGGCTAACCCCATTCTACACAGGGACGTCAAACCGTGGCGTCACCTGATATGCCAGCTTTACAGCTGAGCGTAGCAGTAGTCAAAACATGGAGAAAATCAATGTGTGTGAGTGTTGATTAAGTGGTGTGTATCTAAGAACATACAGGACATTCAGGGACATGTCCGGACATTAGGCCTAAGAAGATATTATAATTAAGATTACGGCTAAACATATCTTACAGTAGCCACTTTCGATCTAGTCATCCTTAACCATAAACAACCTGGAGTAACTCCTGGAAATGAGTAAGCATTTAACAGCCTGAGCTAGACATCCTGTCTACACTAAAGACATTTCTAATACATAAAGTATCTATCCAATATCTTTCTGACAAAAAAATACCTAACAATATATTCTGTTTCTCCCTCACCCCAAAGCCTCACCCTCCTACTTGTCAGTCTGAGAAACCTTCAACAAGAACATTTGTTCTCTAAACAGTGCACTAACCTTTAGGCACACATATAATGTTCTCTGACCACACCCTCCATCCTCAAGGACCTCACCTACCCTGAGCATGTACTGTTTATACCGCTACCCTCCGGTCGGAGGCTCAGGAATGTGAAATGCAGGACCTCTAGACTGAAAAACTCTTTCTTTCCATCAGACTCCTAAACAGGATCCTGACTCAGGATCTACCTCATGTAATTCCATCTGTACTGTTTACATACTCAGTTTGCACATGCATAATTGCACACTCACTGCTAAATATTTGCACTTCATGGCTCCCATGTAACATATATTCTCTCTGCATTATACTGTGTTCTTGTTGTATTTTTATTTGCTCTTTCACTTGTTGCTTTAAAGTCCCTTAGATTTGTGTTACTGCCTATTTAGATTTGTGTTATTGCTCATCTACTTTATATTTCACTTGTATTGTGTGGCATTCATGTGGACGCAAAGTAAGAATTTTATTGTACAGGGAAACACGTTCCCTAACTGTGCATATGACAAATAAACACTTTGAGCTTGACCTTTGACCTATACGTAACTGGCACAATGGTGTCTTGTCCGTCTCCTTCAATTATACCTGTTACCCACAAAGTACTCTGAACAGGGAGAGAAACAAACTCAGTATCAAAATCAGAATCGGCTTTACTGGGCAGGTGTGTTGGACACACAAGGAATTTGACTCTGGTACATCAGCTCTCAATGTATATGTACATATCCCCATGCAAGGGGCAAGTAAACAGTAAACCAGCATAAGGCTGTGTAATATAACAAAATAAGCAGTATTATCAGCAACAAACTGTGCAAACAATGCAAAATAAGCAGTATAAACAGACAGTAAACAATGCAGACAAAGGAATGCTCATTGTGAAATGGGATAAGTAGGAATAAAAATAGAGTACTTAAAAATAGAGACCTGTTTGGATGTGTATAATCTGTATAAGGTATATTTACAGATATTGCACTGATGAGGGTTATTGACCAGTCATACTGTCGTTGGTTAAGTGTTCAGAGTGATGGCCCGGGGGACAAAACTGTCCCTGTCCCTGGTTGTCTTGGTGCATAGTGACCTGTAACACCGTCCAGAGGGGAGGAGTTCAAACAGATTGTGTTCAGGGTGTGAGGGGTCTGCAGTGATCCTCCCCGCCCTCCTTTTGACCTCTGCGGTGTACAGGTCTTCCATGGAGGGCAGGCTTGCACCAATGACCTTTTCTGCAGTTCTGACTGTCCACTGAAGTCTGTACTTGTCCTGTTTGGTTGCTGAGCCACACAGTAAGACAATCTGGAGATTTTAAAAATGGTACTCAACATGTTGTTTCAGTTCTTTGGGGTTCTGGGGGAGAAGAACTGAATACTGGGTATTTCTCACCAAAATATTTAGAAAAACAAGTCCTTCAACCAAAACAACAATATACAGTACATCATTTGGCTGCTTTAGAACACGGCCCATAGGACCCTTCCACTGGCGCACTTTCCAGACCTTCCTCATCATGGTAACAATTATAAACACAAGTTTATGATTTTACAGGTGTAGGACCAAAACTACTGTGTTTGGTTAGAAAACAATCATGGTTTGGATTAAAATAACCTTTCATAAACATGCAATAAGGTTGTAGAACAGTCACTGAAGTTTCCACTGTTATACATTTTTAATCCATGGAGGATTTTTATTTGTAAAACCTTCCCAGAGCCTAGAAAAGAGTTTTATTTTCATGATGTAATCCCAGCGTGGGCAAAGTGGAAGTGTGCAGACAGGGGCTGTGGAGAATACACACTGCATTGCACAACATGGAAGCAAGCTCAAATTTGATTTTTTTCAAAATTTAATTTAATTTATTTTTGCCATATGTGCCAGGAAATCAAATTTCAGTGGGAGTAATGGGGGCTATCTTGTAGCCCCTCCTAATACATCCATGCTATAGAACCTGTCATTATATTGTTGCTGTGGTAAAGTGTATACATGAATTCTGACTGGTGTGGTTCTGCAACTCTAACTGAAGGGAGCTGTAAAGTCCTCTTGATGCAAATATAAATAACAGTCTGTCACTAGAATCATGGACTAAACCTTTAGAGTGAATTGTGCTTACACATTTTATACATTAAAAAATTAGCTATAAATACAGAATGTCTTACATTCGCTGAACTTTAGCTCAAATATATTTTTTATTCACTTGAACAGACACACACGCACATCCATAGGTTCACATACGTAGCCCTACACCAAGAAATATGGACCACTCAGTGATTGTAACAACAAAAAACCACTTGAGACAGATGAGGTTGAGTGTGACACTGTTTTTATCAGAACCCTGTGACTGAAACACCACTGAAATGATCATCGCCACCAGTCCAGGATCTGCAGATTTCATTCTCATTCAGCTTTGTGGAGCCTCAATATCCACAGTGATAAAGGTGTACAGTACATCTTTCACAATAGCCTTGACTGTGTATCTGAGGGAATTAATCCCATCCGCATTCATGTTCAAGCTAGCCAGACGAAGTTTGAAAGGGTTGTTGGGATTTGCCTCATTGTGCAAGTCTCTTTGATGCCTGATCATCTTGTATTTTCCTGTCGCCAAATCAGGCCGAGAAATGGTCATTCCACGTGATTTAATTCGCTCGTGGATATCATCATCCTCACCACCCCAGCCCCAGTAAGTGTTTGGGAAGCCATTAATCTTCAAGTACTGGTCTCTGGATAAGGAGGAAACTCCACCAAAGAAGGTATCATAAGGCATGTTGAAATTAAATTTGTCCATAGCAACAGCCAAGTGACGGGGACTTTCAAAACATCTATAGAGATTCCGATCATCTAAGGGGATCAAATCTATGTCAGAGAAGACAAAGCAGTCATAATCATATTGCTTCATTGCTTCAGCATAGCCAACATTCATCAGTTTAGCCCTGTTGAACACGCCCTCTCCATCCTGGTTGATGATATACACAGTGTAGTCCACCTGCTGTCGCTTTAGTATAGGATGCAGGTAATACAGCCAGTGCCTCAGGTGGTCATAACGATTTCGGAAAGGAATGATGAGTGCCACCTAAACAAGTAAAAATAAATACTGTAGATATCAAAGAATACAAGAGCTGTAGCAAACACACATGGCCCTTAGTGTTTTAATGGTTAATAAACATTTACTAATATGTAAAATACAGTGCTAATATTCAGTATTTTAGCAGTGAATTGTAGAAAGTGGCAGAAGTTCTGTTTTAATCACAAAGGTTAATAAAGAGGTTAAGGAAAGTGCATGCACCTCCCCATAACAAACCTCTTTGCATCAGGTGCACAGGCCAAGCTATCATAGTAGAGATAATAAACTAGAGCCCCCACACTGATAATGTTTTTATTGTATGGATGCTGATTCAGCATCCATACCATGTTATTCCTGTTTTTTATTTATTATTCTTCTGTATGTTTTTTGGCCCTTAACTACTTCAGCACACTTTCAGCCAGAAAAACCATTCAGGCATCAAAATGTTCAGCTTATTCAGGACATGTATACAACTTTTTTTAATAACTTTTATACTTTTTAAAATATTCTGCTTTATTCTGGAAATTTTGCCCCATTCAAATGAATAGGAAAATTCATTCATTCATCTTCTATACCACTCTGTCCCAAATGGGGTTGTGGAGCCAATCCCAGCCAGCAATCAGGCGAGGGCAGGGTACACCCTGGACAGGCCGCCAGTCCATCTCAGGGCTGACACGCAGACAAACAACTGCTCACACGCACTGGCAATTTAGAGTCACCTAAGGCGCATGTCTTTGGACAGTGGGAGGAAGCCGGAGTACCCGGAGAAAACCCACACAAGCATGGGGAGAACATATAAACTCTGCACAGAAAGGTCGTGAACCTGCAACCTTCTTGTTGTGAAGGAATGGAGCTAACCACCGTGCCACCGTGCTGCCCCAACAGGAAAATTCTACTTAAGCATACTTTCAGCTATTTCAGGTATCAAAATGTTCAGCTCCTCAAGGACATTCATACTTTTATTCAAAATTTTTTTCAACTTCACACCTTTGAAATATTTAGCTTTATTTTGAAAGTTTTTCCCCATTCAAATGAATGGGAAAATTCTACTTCAGCACACTTTCAGCTATTTCAGGTATCCAGATGTTCAGCTCTTCAAGGACATTCATGCTTCTATTCAGAATTTTTCGCAACTTCATAAATTTGAAATATTTAGCTTTATTTTGAAAATCTTGCTCCATTCAAATGAATGGGAAAATTCTACTTCAGCATAATTTCAGGTACCAGAATGTTCAGCTCTTCGAGGACATTCATACTTCTATTCAGAACTTTTCAAAACTTCATACTTTTGAAATATTTAGCTTCATTTTGAAAATCTTGCACCATTCAAATGAATGGGATAATTCTGCTTCAGCATACTTTCAGCTAGTAAAACCATTCAGGTATCAAAATGTTCAGCATTTTCAGGGTGATCTTTCAGCACTCAGCATCCATACGCATTTTCTTCAGAAAATGCATTTCTCTAGTTAAAAATGTTTTTATTTTCTGATTTTAATTTTATTTAACAGCACTAAAACAACATGTAGTCCCTGGTAGGCTAGTGGTTAAGGCGCAGCGCTCTGGCTGCGGTGCCCCGGGTTTGTGTCAGGAAGGACATTCGGCGTAAAGCACATGCGAAATGTCAACATGCGAGTCGTCAGTGTGACGATTCGCTCCTAAACGAAAGTGACTTTCTTTAGCACTAAAACAACATGACCAAATTTTTTGTGCTGTTTGGTGACATCAATTTAAAAGTCTGAATATGTCAGGAAAGAGCATCTGACATATGAAGGCTTAATGTCTAGATGGTAAATGGACTGCATTTATATATTCACCCATTCACACACACACCAATGACGACAGGCTGCCACGCAAATGCGCTGATTAAGCCAAGTCGGGGTTCAATGTCTTGCTTGGGGACACCGGGAGTCGAACCACCGACTTGCTGGTCAGGACACGACTGCCCTATCTCGTGAGCCGCAGCCACCCACCAACCTATAGGTTTTTGTTGTTGTTTGACCAAAATATAAATATTTTTGTGGCGCATTAAATCAGCTCTTCCAAAACAGTGACTACATCCTTTTATTATTAATCTGTTTAGGAACTCCAGCATTCTTTCACCTACCTTTTGCTGGGCGATACAGTCTGGTGGCTTGTACCGTCCTCCCTCCTTAAGAAAATTCATTTCCTTTCTCACCTCATCCAAAGTCCGTTCAACAGTAAACTCCACATAAAGGGGACCCACAAGATCGGGAGGTGTGTCAGGGCAGCGTTCCAAAATTTGTTTTGCAGGGGCTGGTATCTCTATCTTCTCCTGGCTGGCTTCTAGGGCTTCGGGCTTCTTTGCCTGCTGTACCTGAACAGTTTCTTTGATTGCCCAAATAAATGCTTTGTCTGTCCCATAAGATTTCTTAGAGGAAAAAGTTGCAGTGCTTTTTTTCTTATAAAAAAAAAGCACAGTATAAAACGCCAGACTGAGAAAAACTAAAAATACCAGAGTTTTAAGGGATTTTTTTCTCATTTTGGCAGTGGCTAAAGATTAATGCCGTTGGCGTAGCAGCTCTCAGTGGCTCTGTTACCTGCATTTATCTTCCCATGGAAGAGGAATGTTAAACATTTGAGCCGCCAGACAGGTTTTTAAGGTTTTTGAGCAACTTCCTTGTTCAAGTCACCTGATCAGGTTGGACCAGTTGTTGTTAATAACTTATTTGTTTCCTTTTTACTCTGCCAAAGTCACTGGTTCAGTAACGAAATGTACTGTTGTGTGTTTGAGTACGTCTACAATATATTATTTTAGGCACTTTAATTTGTATATTATCTTTACTTTACTTTAGATTTATTTGAAACAAAAACAAAATACAAACATGGTGTACTGATGAATATGTGCAGTGTACTAAATGTACATATTTTTTTTTAAATAAATTAGTAATACTATTAGTAATACTGTGTTTTTCTCTGAAAACCACAGTATTACTAATATGAATAATAGAGCATTAATACTTCCTGTAAGTTGTCAAACTGGGCCCCCTACTGGTGGCTAACTGGTGGTGCTGAAGTTCCTGTAAAATTGAGAGGGACAGACTGGCAGGTCCCCACCACCTTTTCAAATGTGCTCAAAGAACAGGAGAAGCTGTCAGCTGAAAAATGCTGACCTCCGCCAGATCCTTCAGAGAAAATGCTGAGATCTGTCACAGGTACTGAAACTTGAAACTTTCAGGTCCCTCTTGAAAGGTATAATTCTGTGTATGGCCGCTACCCTTTTAGAAACTATCTAAATTTTTGAACAGTGCAGCTAGCAGGACAGGGTTGTCTCTTGCTAAGCAGAAGAAGACTGAAAGTAATTTTGCCTCCAGTCACGTTCTTATCTGGAATGTCGGTAACAGGCACTCTACACCACAACTGAATTCCGATGTGTTACAATGTGTCTCAACCCAGTGGAAATTGGAAAGCACGTAATTCAATATGAACAAAAGGCACACCTTCCTGTCAATCATTTGCTATTACTCACAGCATTGAACTATGCTGTTTATCTGTTTATCATATCTTATTGTAAACTAGTAACAACACATTTGAATCTTTTTGTGCATTCATGAAATTTATTAAATGCCAGTACCAAGATTTTCCCAAATATGTCCAAAGTTAATTAAATCCTAATAAAACCTATTAACAAAAATACAGATAAACTGTAAAAAATAATCTCTAATGTCTCAGTTTTATAATCACTCAGTTAAGTTCTCTACAAAATATATGGTCTTCAGATTTTGTTAACATATGATATTCATTTCAAAGCATAAAATATATTTCAGCTGATAATAAAATCAATATGAGGGAGAGGAAATGGTTGGCATGAATCTTTAGAGGATAAGGCTGGTAAACACTGCTCATAAAAAGACTAAAACCCACAATGAATTGCTTCTACTTATGGTCAATGTCTATTGGTCTTGGATTAATTTATTTGTCTGTGCCATAAACCTGCACTGTTGTTCAAAAATAATTAAAAAGACATAAGGGAAGCACTCCACTGCAATGTGTGACATGCTTCTTTATTATAAAACACAAGAGCCATAATGTAATGTTATTGGGGAAATACATACAAAAGCTCACTTCAACCATTGTATATATTACAAAAAAGAGCGATAAGAATTGTGCATAAGATGGGGTATAGGGATCACACCAATGGAGCTTTCATACAGTCTAAATTGTTAAAATTTTTTGATTTAGTGGGATATAAGACTGCTGTGTTTATGTATAAAGCCAGGAACAATTTATTACCTGGTGGAATTCAAAAACTATTTAATGAAAGGGAAGGGGGATACAATTTAAGGGGTCAGTTAAATTATAAAATCAATTGTGGGTGTGGTGTATGAATGTTAATACTCTGTAATAATTCTTTAGTATATTACTTGTGTGGTGTAGAAAATAATTATTTAAGAATGTAATTATGTATGAATGTTAACGCTTTGTCATAAGTTTTTAGTATATTACTTGTGTGGTGTACAAGAGAATTATTTATGTAGAGATACTGCTTGCAAACCAATGACGGTAATGTTCTCACATTACCTAGAAATTTCCCTAGACTTTAATGGAGATGTGCTTTTGTCCCTTATTTGCTTGTTTAAACCATAATTGTTCAGCACATTCACCATGAGGAACTAACTACTCCACAGCACTGATCATATCTACAGCCACTATGCAAAGCGTACTGTAGAGATATAATCAGTGCACTCTTGTATATCACCACTAGATGGTAGTCATGTGTCATCAGTTGACAATGGGCAGACGAGCCACAGTGTACAGAAGAAGAAGTTGTTTGGTGAGTACTGACTTGGCATGCCAATATGTAGGCTCTTGTGCACCCCCCAACACACATACATAAACCACATGCATACTATATTATTTGCACACCCATGTGCGCTATTGTGAATGTGTTACTGCACAAATGTGTTTCTTTCAAAGAGAATTCTGTTTTTGGTCTTTAACCACAGTTCTGGATAAATGGGTTGCTGTTTGCAGGGAAACCTGATCCAGAGGCTTCCATACATGGATTTAAAAAAAAAACAAAACACTGCCTCCCACTTTCTTTTTTGATTATTTTTGCTGTTCTCCCCAACTCCAGAGTTTGAGAATAGGAATGATGCTTTGAGAGACACAGAAGGAGGCTTGTTGGATAGACATCTGGTCTAAAATGGACCTAGCAAGACCGGTAAACCTGTGTGGCTGGTTTAGCCACACAAGTCCTTTCTGGCACACCCTCTGGATGTTAAGTGGTTGTGCTTTTTTTGGACACACATTTTGCTTAGCATGCGCCCTTGTAGTGCCAGACCGACAATTATCCAAGCCTGTGTAATTATGTAGTTAAATGAATAAAATTGTACTCAAATGCTTCCCTTTGCCAAGGAGTTTATATAACTGACAGGAATTGTTTGAATTCTGTGGTCTTGATAAAGAATCACTTTCACAGTTATGAAGCTTTTGTTGAACAGGAGTTTTTTTACTCTCATAAGAAAGGGACTTGGTGAATCAGCACAAGTACAGGTTATAAATACTTGAATTACATATTACACCACATGCAGGTAGTGTTAATTTCAGGATACCAGAACAGTGACTTCAGAAATATTACCCCTTCACTTTTTTAGGTTTAATTTTAAATAGATAAAATTGCCATTTTGCCCATCAATCTAATTAACCCATAATGCCAAAGTGAAAAAAAAATTTTTGTGCAAATTTTATAAAAATCAAAGACTCCACTTGTGGCAAACTGATTTACCTGGACATAGTTTAAAAAGACACCCCTATGTATATAAGGCCCCACAATTCACACTGCATGTTAGATCAAAACTCAAGTAAGGAACTTTCTTTCTGTGAGGAACTTGTGGTGAGGCATAGATCAGCGCACAGGGCAAGGACCCAAAGTATATAGCCAAAACAACACTGGAATGGCTTCAACACAAGTCTCTGTCTTATGAGTGATCCAGGCAAAGCCCAGAACTAAGCCTCATAGAACCTCTATGGACAGACCTGAAGACAGCAGTTTGCAGTCACTTCTCAGTCAACCTGATGGGGCTTGAGGGGATCTGGCAGGACAAATAGGATAAACAGCCAAACCCAGGTGTGGAGACCTCAGACAGACTTATCTGGAGAAGACACACTGAAGCTATAATACTGCTAAAGGTTTTTTTTGCAAAGTACTGAACTGTCAGGTGTAAGGGCAAGTGGGCTCAATACAAACACCAGTCAGGTAAGTTAAAGTGACATTTAATGACATCAAAAACACAGCTAAAAGCTGGCAGACAGTCACTGCAGGTCTCTGAATACATGTAAGTATAAGAAACAAAAACTCAGCACTTGGCTGGTAAACAGTCACTCAAGACTCATGAAACTAAAAAACCTCAGCACGTAGCTGGCAAAGCCATCACTTAGAGTTTCTGTACACAAAACTGGAATAACCTGACGGTAAGTCTGTTGCGGAACCTTTGACGGACTGCAGTTTCCTGCGGTAAACCGTACTCATTTCCTGTTTTCTGTATTTGCACTGCGTTGTGCATGCTTCCAGATTGTTTAGGAATTAAACTCACGATTTTCTAGGTTCATCAGAATTTTTGAGTGACAACATACGCTTGCACCACTTAAAGCACTTGTTTTGCAGAAGTTCTTGCTAACTACCAAATTTAACTTGCTACTTTAGGTCGGCTAGTTTAGAAGCTAGCTAAGCTAGTAGCTTAATCAAGAGCAATGGCTTCCCCCTCTTCC